ATTAAAATCAACATTCATTAATATAACTGGCACTAGATATCAAAGAAGCCATCAAGGACAATGAAAATTAAGGATATGATGATCTGGGCCTGTTATGTCTTCCGCTTTTTTTCGATTCAGTGGGCTTTGAAGAGTCTCTTAAGTTAATTGTTTGTTTCTTCCATTCTGAATAAATGTCATCTTTGTCATTAGTGAGTCGGCGAAAACACAATGGCCAACGGGGAATAAAAACAAAATTCCAAGAATATTTTTGTCTGGAAACTCCATAAAAGAAAATGTAATGCCGGGACGGCTAACAGTCAGTGAAGTTCAGATCAGTTCTTCGTCACCATTAAAACGTGCAGTCTATTCGCTATTAGTCCGGCAGCCGGGTAAATCCTTCGATACAGAACACGTAAGGAGGAGAACTCTATCTAAACGACTTTGTCATGCAAGAGCCTAACAAAATCTTCAATAGCGGAGCCAACATGTAAAGGGTCAGACTCTGTTAAATCATTGAAACCCAACTGCATTATAACTATCTCCGGTCGAAAGGAATCGACAACATTCAAGTCAAGATGTAGCGTTTTGGAAACCGTACGGCCACCGACTCCATGCCATTTTATAAAGGCACGGTGAGATAACTTGAAATCAAAGCTAAAATGGCAGGAATCACGGGACAGGAAAAGGCGCCAACGGCGAATAAAAGAATCTCCCAGAGCTAAAACACGCGGCTCGGCCATTGAATAATAGGAAAGATAAAAGGAAAGAGGGTACTTGCCTAAAAAATGCTGAAAATTGGTTCAAGCCAGCGATGTGAACAACGTGATGGTGAGCGATCGAAAAGGGGCGAGAGCATGGAAAAGCGCGCTTAAGAACGATATAGTCTGGAACGCCCTAAGTTCTGATTGGCTGGAAATATGATAGGCTTGGAACCTGCCGCCTTGGCCTGCAAACCATTATCAAATGCCTTGCAATAAAATCCTGCTATGATGTCATCATAACGGTGTCTTTTTTTTATAAACATGTATATCTCGTAGTTTATGATCTGACTAGTCTTAGCAAACTTTAAAGAGTTACTGACTGACTGAATTTATTCTTGTTGGATTGAAGTTTACTTTCGAACTTGAGTAATGGATAATGTTGGGGGAAGTTCTATCTGTTAGCTTTATCATTAATAGTCTGATATCACTTAACTTGTGAAACAGATAGCAGACACTTCTTCACAGTATTACACTTTAATTTCATAACTTTCTGTTGTTTAGTCGTAAACTATTGAGCACTAATTGTTACGAGATAGTGCCGTACGGGTTACATAAAATGAAATGATCAAACTATCTCGATAACTATTAGCAACCACAAGTTTCTTTTTTTCCCATTAATCTTCTCTTATGTGCCCGAAGTCTGATAACATTGATTTAACCCGGCTTTAAGCTGGGTCTTCAAGCCACCCTCCTTTTACTGAAGCACAAAGCTATGAACTGAAGCCAAACCAAAATTTATGCCTTTTGAGCGGAGCAGTTACACAGTAAATAGGGCCATGTATGAAGTCATAAGTTACGGCTGTGGATACACAGCAATTACGAACGATGAAGGCAGTTACATTTTCGGTGGCCGTCAGCGGGCTTTTGTTGTGGCTTCTTTTACTCCAAGCAGTGAATTTTCTGAATTTTCTTTAACATTGTCCTGAAATAAACAACATATAAGCAAGCAAACCCTGAAGTATTAGTCAAGATATAAGTACAGCCGACTCCCGATAACTTGAACCTTCAAAAAAGTGTTCGGGAGCTCGAAGAAAATAGCGGGAAGTAAGGAAAAAACCAGCTTTTATTGCACAGTGAACATTTTAATTACATTTAATTGTATAAAGGTTAAGTAACAATTGAAATATACTTCTTGATTATAAATCAGAACGTAACGTAACAAAACATTGCCTAAATAGAGCATGCAATTTACTGTTTTGAGACGTAAAGCTGTTTCACGTTAGATTTGTGTCAACATCAGCCTCCACTAGTGAACTTTATGCCTACAACACGTCAATGGGAAATTCAAAATTCAGTGTTTCGGACGCCAGTACACTGTTTTTTTCCCCGACTATTTAAGGGTTTCAAAAAAAAAAACGTTCGAGTTATCGAGAGTAAAATTATATAGAAATGATCTGAGGGGAAACAAAAATTACTTTGAGTCAGCGGGAGGTTCGAGTTATCGAGGGTAAAATTACAGTAAATGTACGACGAAAATCCAGGGGAAATCAGTTTTGGTTCGAGTTAGCGCGAGGTTTGAATTAGTGAGGGTTCGAGTTATCGGGAGTCACTGTATGAGCGTTCATTGTCGTAGACTGAGCCAGTGCTTTTTTTTCAATTACAATATATTGATCTCACGATAGACTCTTTCTGAAACTGAACGTGGGACGAAACTTTTTTTCAGTAGCTTTGCTTATGCACATCTGAATGCAGAATAAGGAAGTACTGCACAAGCTGAAATTTTGCTTCAACTCAAGTTTCAATTCAGTAAGAAAGTGTTGTTATGATTTCCACGTTTGGTCTAATATTTGAAGGATAAGGCTTAAATAATTGAGCGTCTTTTCACGATACCTCACTTCCCTTTCCATGACATTTTGTCTGGTAAAACTAAAATCCTAACAGTTTCATTAATTTTTAACACTACTAATGAAGCGAATTCACCCGAAACACCAGGAAAAAGTACAGCTAAAAACTAATTGCCCGCCTTCTGGGCGAAATCCCGAGGAGGCACTCTAGTAACTCGCGCGTATATTAAGGAAAGTACTTACAGTTGAAATATACAGTCGATATGCCAGAAAAAATCTCGATTTGCTTGAACAGGGCCGCGAGGAATCGGTAGGTAATGATGACGTTTCTATTGTTTGCGCCCGCAAGTACGAAATGGTTAGGATGACGTAAGAAAATCCCGAAGGGATGCAGGGATACTTCGATACTCCTTTGCATTACGTGTTATCAGTGACATTCTGTGGAGCAGTTGTTTTGAACGTTATGGACCAAAAGACCCTCGTTAAGCGCAGATGAAGTTATAAGGTGCATATAACTGTGTATATATAAACATTTGGAGAGGTTGCCAGACACGAGTTCACAAATCTTTAATTGGAAACCTTGCCAGACACTTTTTCTCTCTCTTTGACCGGAATAAGACCCAGCCCCTAACAAGCAAGACGAGTGAACAACGGCTAGCTTATCACTAGCAGAACGATGGACGATTACAGAAATTCGCCGACAATCAAATTCTGTGCTGAATTATTCCCTGCTCACAGATGTCCTTCCGCTATAAAGTTTAAAATAAGACTAGAATGCGCGAGCGTGAATTGATGAAACGTCCTTTTAATTTCTAAGTCTTACTTTCCGGCAAATAAATGAACTGAATGTAAAAAGTAAAAGAAAGTAAATTCAAATTCTAATTAAATCTTTTCTTATGGTTTAGAATAAACTATTCAAGAAACTGAGAATGCGTGAGAATGTTTTGATCAAAGCTGTGTAAATCGAACTGAAACTGTGCATGGAACCCTGCGTTTCGTGTATTTATCTCACCTATTGTATGGAATATGATTGAAAGTGTTCATTATGAATCGGCATATTTCAAAGAGCTACGCAACGAGCAAGAATACTGTTGACCGACAATAAAGAGCGGGGGCAGCTGTAGTGTCAACTATTACTAGTTAATAGTACAGATTTGTTTTAGGAGCGGATCGATCTTATTTGACCACGGTTGGTTGATAAGTTTTAGTAATTTTTAGAGGGGGCGTAAGGGTTTGCGGTGATGCGGTGTTGCTCGATTTTTGGTGGGGTTTTGCGGGAAGTTTTATTTTTAAGTTGATGTAATGCGGTTAAAACCTAGCGGCTTGCGGTATTTAGACATTGCGCGTAATTTCAATGCGCTTTGCGGTTTTATTCAGTGCTGTGTTTATATACTGGTATTTCTGTGCGGTTTTGTTATGTCATATTCTGTACGGTGTTTGGTGTTTATATACCGGTATTTCTGTGTGGTTTTGCGGTGTTCATACCCCCTTACGCTCCCCTCTTTTTAGACTTCTGTCTGATTTGAGATTCTATTAAATGTATGTAAAAGTATCGTGTAAAGGTATCGATACTGAAGGCGATCTTAGTGTTTTAATCCATGGCACCCTTATTTCAAGCTCATAAAATGTTACGTCAATGTTGAAGCAAACAGGTTTTCGGAAGCATTTCGAATTACGGTAAACAGCCGAGAGTGGTGTTGAAAGTGACGATAAATAAATTGACTGGAGAAGATCAGTACAGGATTATGATTTTAATTGCTGTATAACGCTATTGAAGTCGCAGAATACCCAAACCATTTATTCAGTCTGTAGTACATCAGAGATATCATTGGCAACATGAGATTGCTGCAAACATGAATTAAGGTGACTCGATCAGATCACAAATTAGCCTTCGTTGCTGACGGTATTGTGTAGTAGTCGAGTGAGATTTGGAGTCGGAGCCGTTGTGATATAGCGGAGTGAGATTTGACGGCGGAGCCGTCACGAGCGGCGAAGCCGTGAGAAATACCCAACCAACCGCCTCGTCCCTACTCCTTTTTTTTGGAACACGGCTCCGCCGCCAAAACTTTAATCTCGCACCCACACAATACCGCCAGCTAAGAAGATAGAATAAGAAGATAGCCCTCAAGTCTTTCTAATGTGTTTGCCGGACGGGCACAAACGGTGATGAAATTCACAGCTAACAGTTTAAGCAAAGAGAAATTTTTCGGCAAACCATACTACGTTGATTTTTTTGGGTTTTTGAACACTTAACTGTAGTTAGAGAACACAGTCCATAAACAACCCGTGAGCGGTAGACCTTCTATTAAGTTTCTTCTCTAAAGCATTAGACAATCATTTTCTCCTCTTTTTTACTAAGTTCTTAGAATTTTTCTTGGGATTTTTCTTGTTTAATTTATCCTGGCAACTTAACATCTCATGAATTTATTTATCTACAGTCAGCGGTTCAACTTCATCAATAGGAGTATTCAACATGTCTTCACTAATAACTGCCGTATTTAAAGCCACTATCGGCCTGCTGGTGAATAAAGGAAGAGATAAACTAGCAGAAAAGTTGAATGAGGGTGATGTTACAGATCAGAAATTCCGTGGCCTGATCGTCCGTGAAATCGATGAAGTAAAGTCGAAGTTGAATGGTTTAGCAAGAAAGGATTTGAAGACAAGTATCAGCCATTTTAAGGAAGGAATCGAGTTGTTATATGAAGTGTTTGAAAGTGCCAGACCCAGTAGCGAGCATAAAATTTTAACAGAACAAGCCGCTAGTGTTGAAGCTTTTCCTCTCTACAGAAATGATAAAATTGGAGCTCACTTCCATGGATGAAACGGCTACAAGGTTGCTTAGCGCAGCAAAAGGGAGATTTAAGGAGGCTCGTCGAGAAGCAACAAAAGCTTTTAATAATGAAGCTTTAGAGTTGCCTGATCGCCTGTTGGCTATGCAATATCGACTGATGGCAACAATACTGGAGACGGTTGACAATCCTAAGGACTCTTTACCGGTTTGTAAAGTATGTATTGAAGACCTACACGATGTGTCGGGTGTTAAAGAATGCTTCAAAGTAGAGCTTAAGAAAGGTCTTTGGGCTCGCCTTGATAAAGACGAACGGAGACAAATAATATCCACGGTATGTTTCTTTAATCGTGTTGTCTACGATGTCACTCTAATGACCCGGTTTGGTAGCAAGGATGAGCTTTCTGAAAACTGGCCTAGTGTTGATACTGGAGAAGAACAAGTCTATCCACTCCGAAATCAAAAAGTTGATGAAGTATTAAAGAAACAAGGCATGGAGCACTGTTGTGTTAAACCATGGTTATTTGGTCAGGAGGGTGAAGAGGAGCAAAAGCTGAAGGATCCGTGTGGTATCGCTAAAAACACCAAAGGCCAATTCCTGATAGCAGGCAATGGGGATAAAACCGTGAAGGTGTTTGATAGCAACGGAAAGTTTGATTTTAGGTTTAATCATCAAACTGATGACGCCGATACAAAGTTAGATATTTGGGATGTCGCCACTGCAGGCGAGGACGACAAGATTTATCTACTGGTCAGTCTGAAGAAGCCTGGGGCTAAGGAATGGGAGAGGGAAGTGCAGGTTTATAACAAGACCGCTGACCTACAGCACAAGTTTCCCGTGAGGAGAGAGTGCTGGAGCTTCAGACTAACAGTGAGCAGCGGCAAACAACGTGGCAAAATTCTGCTGTTGGCAGGTCAAGTTGGTCATGTTCACGAGCCGAGTGGCGAGTTCGTTTGTAGCTTTGGTGGAGGAGTGTTCAAGTGGGCGACAGATATCACTGCTACTTGTAATGGTCGCGTCATGATAGTGGACCGATACGATGACAGTTTGTACATATTTGACGTGGAGGGACACCAGCTTGACAAATTTAATATCAAACATGTGAGAGATGACTATTATCGCATTGCATGTCACCCGGCAAGTGACCATGTTGTCCTTGCTGGTAAGGAACGAAAGACACGCCGCCTGGCGCTGGCTATATACACTGTTAATGGTGAATTGTTCGCAGAATTCAGCTGGATGAAGAAGTATATGTTGTACGTGGAATAACAGTGACCGTGGAGGGTCACATTGCTGTGGCTACTGACATAGGACAGGTAATTGTTGTTTAAAACTAAAAAATTCGAAGACACAAGTCAACAGTTCTTATTTTACTTTCATGAATAAATGTCATCAAGGCAGATGTTTAAATTTAATGCTGCAGTTGATTGGAATCACTGGACATGACTGGATTAAGCCACATACACTGTAAAAAACTTCACCCCCTCTTCACCCCTCTCGTTTACTGATGTTTGTAGTAAGTCTTGTGTTATCGCTCTAACCTTTAAAAAGAAACCAAAACAGATAAAATGAATGCGATACATGTACAGTAAACACTCGCTAATAAGAACCTAAGTTAATTTTTTTTAGGTCTGGCAAAAAAGGGTACGTTACAGAGTAATGAAGGCTAAGTACAACTGTAGGTTCTTAATTAGGTTTTAAATTTCTTTGAAGATGTACAGGGTGTCCCAAAATTTTTGTCCTCTAATTTCATGCTCAGTATTAACTTTTGATCAAAACTTTATTTTTACATGAAATTTCTAAAAAATGTTTATTGCTCTATCAAGTACACGATTGTATTCAGAAGTTCAGTAAGCTGCAGGTCCCCTTTTTTTTCTTATCACATTCTGTAGCCGTTGTGGCATAGAGTGGGATAAGTCATTGCAGCGTCTAGAGCCCCATATGAGCCACGTTTAGCTTTTTCATTACTTGGTACACAGGAGCCACTTTGACCCCCAAATTAACAATATCATTTTTTTAGATTAGGCAGCCAAAAAAATATTTTAAGCATTCATGTAAAAAAAAAAAGATAATCATCCCAGCCTCTCTCTGCAGTAAGGTTTTCTTACTTCTTTGCCAAGGAGACTAGCTGAACGTTGTTCGGTGGACTGACCGAGGTTTTTTTTGTCATCTCACAGGCCTCCAACCGTATTCAGGACTTTATTTACTCCAGCAGGTTCTTAAACCGCAATTTCTTATTAGTGGGTATGTGTTTACTGTAAGTACAGTAAAATTCTTTTGTCTCTTTAACAATTGGTGGTATAATAATATTTTTGTTTGTGCAGAATGGAAAATAATACAATCCAGATTCAGTTGGTTTACAAAAACATCCTCATCAGTTACCACCTTCTCTCTTTTCGTTGAAGATTCAGGCTTTTAAGCTTAAAATACTCTAAGCTGTAACTCAATCGCATGCCACATCAAAAAACGCCTTTGAAATCTTCTCCAGGAACAATAATTCATGATGCTCCCTACTTGATTTAAGCACGCAGTGATGTGATAACCCATATAAATAACCAATGCAACCAGCCGTCTTTTTGGTTTAGGCGTGCAGGCTCATTCCCAAAAACATTGGCTGGTAATCAATCCTATTAGTAAGATAATTACGATTTTGTTCCAACAATTTTCACTAAATAAAGCATAGATAGTTTCTGGGCAGTGGTTTTCTCCAGATTTTCAGGCAAAGCCGGCTTTTCTTTAACCCTAACGACACTAAGCAAATGATCCAGATTTAAAACTATCACATGACATACAGTGTATTATAAGGGGAAAGGGCTCTCCTCAGTTGACAAGCATCCCTCAAAACTGCCTTTCCTTAACTGTAATCAAAAATTCTTTTTGGGCAGGTTAAAGTGTCTATTGGGCTAGCACATGCTAGGTACAGCTTCTCCAAATGGCAAGCTGTAAAACTGACGTTCCTAATAAACCCTGACAGATTCATGATTTGTATGTGAAATTATAGAAATGTAACTTAATATCAATGGCAATTTTGTTACGTCTTTAAACTGTTTTAACAATGAAGTTTGGCATCTAAATCACAGGCAAAAAAGACACTGTTGGTCTTAATTAAAATTAAGTTTGGCTCATGAAAACTTTGACTGCTTTGCAGAGCCTATAACCTGCTATATTAATAAGGAATGCGTGATTAAATATTATTGTATTAGTAAGTTTATATTTGGTAACTTAACAGTTTCTCTTTAAACTGTTTTAGGTTTGGCTAATACTTTTCCGTAGGCTAAATCAAAGGTATAAACACATCATTTTTTAATTTGGTTGACCTGAATTAAAATATTAAGGTTGACTTCTGCTTTTAATGTTAGTATACCAGGGACACCCATCGAGAATATAGTTCAAAACCACTTAAAAATAGCATTGTTGAACGTATTTTAGTATTTAAATGGTAGATATAGGCATATTTTTATCTCCGAAAAATTTTTCATCTGTTCGGATCTCCTAGCTGAAAGTGATCCGAAAATTATAGTGATCAAAACTTACCTTTTTGAAAATTTTAGGCAGAAAAAGGCTCCCGAATTAAATTCTAGACGTGACCTTTTCAGGGGAAAAATCCGTTAAGAATTGGGCAATTATACCATTTTTTAAGTGTTCGAAAATCCTAGGAGAGGCAGGCAAGCAAGAAATTTTACAACAAATGTTCCGAAAATTCTAGATCTCAAATCATCTTCCCAACAGATATTTTCCGAAAATTGGCGTTGCTGTAGGTTAAACTCTGCAGCAATCACCTTAAAGATGGATTATTGGAAGGTAGGTATATATTAAGCCTGGTTTCCATATCATCGTCCCGATCGCCCCAGTCATTTCAAAAAATTTCGACATGATCCGGACAACTGGGACGATTCGTGGTTTCCATGTGATCGTCCGGGTAATTGCCTCAACGGAACAAGACACGGAATCATCAGCAATGTCTCTGGGTCAGACAATAGAATTTTTGCATGGGTTTCGCAGACAAGCCAAACATACATGTAATGATGGATTTTAAATGGAGAGCAAACCTCGAACCTTGCTATCTGCTTTTTCTCTCTCTTTTGCGGTGTCAACAAGCTAGAAGTCAGTTCCACAATGATATCGTATCATTGCGTAGAACTTGATGAAACAGACTTTCTCTTTAGTTTCAAAAAGTACACATATGTGATTCGAACATTTTTGAATTATTTTCAACCTCAGCGGCATACAGGTCGAATGATAGTGATGATTTCTGGGATAGCCTTTGATCATCCTGGTCGATAGTCTCAGTCGTCTGAGAGCATTTACCGATCACTTCAAAATTTATACGATCCTCCCAATCGTCCAGATAGAAATCAACTCTATTCAAGCGATTGATAGAGTTCATCTCAGTAATCCGGGTCATTTGTGATTGTCTGGGTAGCATTTTCATATGATTTTCCCAATCGTCTAAACATTATTTGAGGCATCTGGGACAATCACAGCACAGCCAAAATGTGTCAATGACGGTGTTATCATGGACAGGCATAATCAGGGAAAAGCTATAATATAAATAGTTATATGTATGCTTATAAACGAAATGTGATTTTTCTCTGCCAGGGAAAATCAGGAAAGTTGTTGCAAGTGGTCAGGAAAAGGCATAGGTGTTGTGAATTATAGGTTTGTGAAAAGTCAGCTGCAAAGTTTATTTTCTGGTAAAAAGTTTTCAGAAAAAACTGTAAAAATCATTAAAAACAAAGTTAAAAACATTAAGAGTAGAGTAATATTGAATTTTTTCGCGGGATTTTTTTTACAAGTTTCTGTTGCTGTCAGTTAATAGACATGCATAATTATAATGAACAGCAAGCAAACAGGTGTCGAAGGTGTTGACTGAGAGTTTATACTTCAAGTTGGTTTTTGCATATTAACTTGAAAAGAAGCTATGACATCATGGCCTATAACAAAACATTGTAATATTAATATTATGGCCTTGTGCCCAAATCTTAATCAGCTAATAACAAGCTCATTTTTTAACAACTGCTAGCTATAGATTTTGACGTATGATAAAGATGTGGAAAAAATGAAAAATATTAATGTAAACATGCCTATTAGTCTGTTATTCATTTAATAAAGTTATAAGCAATAGATGTTTATTATTAATTGGATAAACCTACCCTGGTCACATCCAGTGAAGCCAACCAACTGTATACATGTAGGAAAATGCAAAACTTTGCCTTTGATGACATTCATCACAAAAAAATCTCCACTGTTCACTTAATTACTGTTGTGTCTTCGAGTTTATTAGCTTTAAACGACAATTAATAATGAAAGGGTGTGTGGAAAAAAAAATTGGTAACATTTTTTTAGATTTTTAGGTATTTTTAGGTTTTCATGCCTGTGATTTGACAGACTGCAATTTTTATTAACATGTATATAACACTAAATAATCTATGCATTTGGTTTGGGACACAAATTTTCAGTATCTAGATTAACATAATCAAGAAGCCAATTAAGAAGGTCTAAATTCCTTGAGCAAGACAACAAGAAAATGGCTGGGTGATTTTATTGAATAGCTGATGTTAGTTTATAATAAATTAGTGCCAAACTTTCCAATTACTTTTTAGGGGCAGTGTCATCAAGGTTTTGTGCTACTTTAAAATCCAGCAAATGCATATAATTATATCATTACAGAATCCATTGATTCACTATTTTCACATAGACCATAAATGCACCTTGTTTAATTTGCCCCCAAAATTTTGCATCAACATTCTTTTCAATATTCAATATTTCTCTTGGGATGACTGTAATCTCCAGGAGAAACTGAAAACAAAATGCAAAATTTTCGGGGTAAACAAGGTGTACAAATTATGGTCTAT